GTTAAGCCCAATCGATATTTATTATTATTTATCTTTATTCAAAGTCTTTTTATCTATTCTCTTCTCCATAAAATTCACTCTCTTTTTGATTTCCATGATACTCTGTCATTTTTCCATTCCAAACTCTCATAGAATTTATTTCTTTTTCCTGGAAAGTCTTTCTCATTCCCAGTTCACTAATTAATATTGTAAAGGTTCTATCATCATCTTTCTCTTCACCCCTACTCATTTTCTATAAACAATAATAACTCTAAAATCTGGGTCTGAAGTTCAAAGCATCTCACACTTATCGTGTCCAAATCAGACCCACCAGTAGTTTCTATTTCCCTGTATCTCACAGAGGTACACCTATTATCTAATCACAAAACAAACACAAAACCACCAAAACAGAAACCTTAATTCTTTCTGCATACATTCCCCAAGTTTTGTGTAACCAATTATCATAAAACTGGTGACCTGAAATGATGGATATTTCTTATTTCTTGTCTCAGTTCTGGGGTGCCAAAGTCAGTATCACTAAGCCAAAATCAAGGTGTCAGAAGGACCATGCTCTTTCTGAAATCTTTTTTTTAAAGAAACCATTCATTGCTTGTTCTAATTTCTAGTACTCCTAGCATTTCATGGCTTGTTATCTTAGTTGCCTTACCTTGAAATTTCTCTTTGCTCCATCTTTGTATCACTTTCTCTTATGTGTGTAATCTCTCTGACTCCCTCTTACAAGGACAAATGTAATTGCATTAAGGGCCCATCCAGATAAGCCACAATAATCTTTCCATCCCCAAATCCTTGAATTAATCATTTCTAAAACCCAGGTAACTTTTTCTGAGATAACATTCACAAGTTCCAGGTAGTAGAATATTGCTTATCTTTTAGTGGGGTTATTTTTCAGCTTACCCCACCTCCTGTCCTTCAGGCCTTACATTTAACCCAGTCAGTCATCTATGGGCTTTATTCAAATTATTTATGTCAGGGCTGGCACTGTGGCACACAGGGTTAAGCCACTTGCAACCCTAGCACCCCATGTCAGAGTGACAGTTCAAGTCCCAGCTACTCCACTTTTAATCCACATTCCTGGTAATGCAGTGGAAAGGCAGTGGAGGACAACTCAAGTAATTGGGTCCCTGAAACACACATGAAAAGATCAGGATTCAGGATGGAGTTCCTGACTCCTGGCTTCAGCATAGCCCAGACATAGCTGTTATGGCCATTTGGGAAGTGAACAGTGGATAGAGAATTTCTCTCTCTCTGATGCTCTACCATCCAAATAAATATATTTTTAAAAAATTATATATTTCAACTCATCAAATGTACCTCCCCACACCTTAAAATGATATGTTTTTCTTTTTTTTATTTCCTCCACTATGAGAGCCACTAAAGTGAGCTGTTTTTCTGACGGATTTGTGTACAATCCTTGAAAACTAGTGATCTAATTAAAGTCTGCTATTTCAGAATCAAAAAATAAGACCAGTTGAATAATCACTTGCTAAAGCCATACATCATATTAAGTTTGGAAGTGAGATTAAAATTCAGATACCTGGACTCCAATTCTAGAGAATTTTATACCATCCCAGGTTGCTACAGTCCATAAATAATCTTGGGCCAAGTAAGAAGTATCACAACTATTAAAGCATCTTATATCGTCAGTGTTTTTTTTTAACACAAAGGATTTTTTTTTTTTTTTGACAGGCAGAGTGGACAGTGAGAGAGAGATACAGAGAGAAAGGTCTTCCTTTGCCATTGGTTCACCCTCCAATGGCCGCCACGGCCGGTGCGCTGCGGCCGGTGCACTGTGCCAATCCGAAGGATCGAGCCAGGTGCTTATCCTGGTCTCCCATGGGTGCAGGGCCCAAGCACTTGGGTGGTTTTTTTAAAATATGTTTATGAAGTCATGGCACACAGGCTATTGCATTTGAACTTTCTTTTCTCCTAGTTAAATGACCAAGAAACAAAACAAGTTTTCCCTTCTGATTCTCACTGCCATGATCCTAGTCTACACTGACCTATCCCCCTTGTTTTTCTGATATTTCTTTAAAATGTCTTCATCCAATTGTCAGAATCTTATCAATGATCATGCAGATTTCTTCATTTGGCATGAACTGGATCCATTTACTCTAAACATGCTGTGTGATGACTCCAACTTTCCAGTGAAAACAGTCACTGTAATTACCTCTGACAACCACAAAGACAATGCTTCATTTATAACTTCATTTCCTATGTCAGTCTCACTATGAGGAATATCTTCTTTCCTAATCAATTAAAATAATTGTATTCTTTCAAAGTCTACCTTAAATTCTTTTTTTTAAGATTTATTTTATTTATTTGAAAGAGAGTTACAGAGAGAGGTAGAGACAGAGAGAGAGGACTTCCATCTGCTGGTTCACTCCTCAGATGGCAGCAGTGGCCGGAGCTGCACCATTCCGAAGCCAGGAGCCAGGAGCCAGGAGCCTCCTCCAGGTCTCCCATGTAGGTGGAGGGGCCCATCGGGCCATCTTCTACTGCTATCCCAGGCCATAGCAGAGAGCTGGATCGGAAAAGGAGCAGCCAGGACTAGAACTGGAGCCCATATGGGATGCTGGCGCTTCAAGCCAGGGCTTTAACCTGCTGTGCCACAGCACTGGCCCTTATACCTTAAATTCTGTGCAATTCCTCCCCTTTTTTTTATTAACACAACCTACACTTACTGCTATCATTAATTCATTCAACAAATATTTAACATCTACCATGTGCCAGCCATATTCACAGTGCTGTAGTACAATGATATAACAAGCTTTCCTACAATGAAAGATCTCACATTGTAGTACAGAAATTGGGCGGATAAACACTTTAAGAGAGACTAAGTGTTCAGTAAGGTAAAGTGTGGGATACTATTAGAGAAGAGAGGAAGGTACTCTTCCTGAATGATCAGAGAAGAGGTTGGTAAAGAAATCTCCCCATCGCAGATGATCTCTGTCTCCTTGATTCCACGATTTCCTGTTGTGTTTTTTAGAAGCATATTTTGCAATGACATTTTCAAGTTTTTCCCTGGTGTATTAAATTTCTACTTTTTAAATATTCTCTTTTACCATCAGAAACTACAGAAGTTTCCTCTACATTGAGCATATTTTATTCCACTTCTATTAATTCTCAAGTCTAAGTTCCAGCCTTATTTATTCCTGCCCCAGTGTTTTCTCACATCTCTGAACTATTCCTACTCTATACCACTAATTCTATGCTGCTTTGTACTGCTGTTCCAGACTTATTTAATGTGTACCTCACTGTTAAAGTTTAAAAGATGTCAGAGCTTTGAAGATCACTGGAAGATCTTCAGAGTCCTGAAAGGCAATGGCCAGACATTCATCTCATTTAAATTTAACATTATGAATCAAGTTAGTCAGTTGGTAGAGGAGGTTGAAAAGGGGAAATATTCGGCCGGCGCCGCGGCTCACTAGGCTAATCCTCTGCCTGCAGCACCAGCACCCCGGGTTCTAGTCCTGGTTGGGGCGCCGGGTTCTCGTCCTGGTTGCTCCTCTTCCAGTCCAGCTCTCTGCTGTGGCCCAGGAGGGCAGTGGAGGATGGCCCAAGTGCTTGGGCCCTGCACCTGCATGGGAGACCAAGAGAAGCACCTGGCTCCTGGCTTGGGATTGGCACAGCACCAGCCGTGGCAGCCACTGGAGGGTGAACCAACGGAAAAGGAAGACCTTTCTCTCTCTCTCTCTCACTGTCCACTCTGCCTGTCAAATATAAAAATAAAAGGGGGGAAATATTCTAATTCATCAAAGCTTATTGTAAGGAATTAATAAGAACTATGCACAAAAGTGGAGGATTAGGGACTTATAAAAATTATAAAAGTAACTCATCTTTACTTCATATTATTTATCACGTGGTAATTTCACATTTATTTATATGATTAATTGACTATCATCTCTATCTCACCAGGGAGTAACTAATTAAGGGCATTAGCAAGGTCTCTATTTTAAGATTTATTTTATTTATTTGAAAGGTTAGTTCATTCCCAAAATGGTCACTCCCAAAGGGAACTCCATCCTGGCCCCCAGGTGTGGGGCAGGAGTCCAAGTACCTGGACCATTTTCCGGGGATTTTCCAGGTGCATTAACAGGGAGCTGCATCAGAAAGTGCGGAGAAGCCAGGACCTGACCCAGTAGTCCATCACAATGCCAGCCCCACTCAGGGTCTGTTTTTGTTCAGTATTATAACTCCAATTCCGTATAAATGCAGTCAACCCTCATTATCTGTGGTAGTTCTATTCAATTAAGTCTCAGAAAACACTGAATTATCCAGTGCTAAACTGTTAGGAAAAATACACGATTAGGTTCTTTTGAGTTTCTGGTCTCAAGCTATTTGACAAGGAATCCTCAATACATAATCTTACTGCTTGTATTTCTATGTAAAGACACCTTATTAAATATATTTTATGTACAATGAGCTCATGACTAACAGCATTGTCCCTAAGCCAGAAGGCAGCTTATCTAACACATGCATTGTTCTCTGTAGGCACATCACAGCCTTCTCATGTTCAAGGATACTAAGCAGCTTGTCGGGACTATGCTTGGGGCCCATTTTCAGCAGTGAAGTCAAGCACACCCATTCCACAAACACAGCACCACACAGACTGGGAAAGTGGCACTGAACTCAAACAAGAAGGCAGAAGTAGCCTTATCCCCCTCAGCTGGAAACATGTGCATCCTGAAACATATTTTCCACTCCTTTGCCCATGTCCACAAATGACTAGGAATGACCTACAAGTGCTGATTTGGGGGTTACAAATAAATTTTGTTACAAATAAATTTTATCAATGAGGTAAATTTGCATCTACTGTATGCATGAATGAAGATAAATGACTATACGTGTTGAACTGCATTGGATGTTACATCTTCTTACAACAAACATTATAAGTTATGGTTATTAATGAATGTCTTTTTTGGATTCTGAGCTGTGCAAGACAAGGAATTTTTATGTAAAATACAAAAATGTTAATATACATTTATGACTACTACGCATACCTGAATGGAATTGCTTCTTATACACAGACACCTTACGGAGTTTTGGAGGTAAAGGTCTTCGAAGAAGTTGCGGGTATGTCTGCATTTTAATGAAAAATAACCGCTGTTTTTCATAACTGTTCCTTAAGAATCGACGTTTTGGAATATGCTTGAATTGCTGCTGAAAAGCAATTGGAGTCTAGATTACATCTTAATGAAAATGATTACATGGTGATATCTTAAACCAAAGTAGAATTCCTTTATTTAAAAAGGAAGGTAAGAAAATTTTCCATGAAAACTTTTCCAAAGCATACAAATACAATTTAGGTATAATACAGAATTTTGCTAATCAAGATCATTCTAAAATTTCCCATGTTATAAAATTGAATCTACCAATGCTATTTCAGCTAGGAAATACAGATTTTTCAGAAAAACATAAATGACAATTTTTCACTACTTCCAAAATGTTATCACTATAAATTTACAAAATGTTTTTGATCAAAAAGATGTGGAAGATCATTGTACAAGGGGGATTCAAAAAATGCCTGGAAATGCATTTTATGAATAACTATGCGTGGATTTCAATTTTTTTCCCACAAAACGCCTTTTAACTCAATTTTCCACCATCTTTTAGAAGCTTCTGAAGACTCTCAGTGTCTAATCATTCACAATAAGTTGTCTCCTTTCTTCAGTGGTACCTGTTATAAATTTCAAACACTCTAGGTGGGCCCTAACGACTTAGTCTAAAAATAAGACAGACTCCCGTATAATGCGAATTCCCGGAGTCTCTGGGAATCCCAGTTAGACCAAATCATGCAAGAAAATGCGTCCAAAAATGTGCCCTTGGTTTGCAGGGCAACAGCGAGAGCGCCGGGCACGCCGCCTCTCTGCAGACAGCCTAGAAGGGACCAGTCGGGAGCCACACAAAGTGGCCCTGCACCCTCAGAAGGGAACTGCATACACAGGCGCTCCAAGTTTGCTCCCTGGAAGTTCGTCCCATGCGACGGGGCAACTTTCTTCCTTTCGTTTCCGAAGAGATGCCTGGAAACGCCGAACTACCCATCACCGCTGTTGCCCAAACCAACCGGCGTTTCGTCTTCCATCCCCTCTTCCTCGGGACCTAGGCCGCGATGTAAAGGTCCAGCGAGGTCGGAAGGCCGTCCCGCTAGGTCTCGCTCCCAAGGTAGCATCTAGGCCACCTCACACCTCCTAGCGAAGTGCAGCCGGAAGCCAAAAAGGCAGGCCCTGGCAACCGGAGGCCAATCAGCCTGTTCCACCTGAGGGACTCGCGGCGTCGCGGGCGTGGCCAGCGGCAGGGGCGGGGCCGTGGCTGGAGGCGGGGGCGTGGCTGGCTCAGTGGGCGGGGCCATCGGCAGGGCGGGGCCGGCGCCGTGGGCGGGGCCGGGGGCCACGGCGGGACAGGCTACGCAGCTGTGGCCGGCGGCAGGGGCGGGGCCAGAGGCAAAGGCGGGGCCGGCGGAGGGGCGGGGCCGGCGGCCTGGGCGGGACGGGCTACGAGGGCGGGGTCCGGCGCGCGCCCTTCGAGCCCCGCGGGTCCGGCCCCGCGCCAGGGCGAGCGCGCGCTGGGCTCAGTCGCCTTCGTCCCGCGCTGGTGTGGCGCTGCCGGGGAGGCTGCGGGCGCTGGGGGCAGGAGCAGCCCCTCGGTGTGCAGCTGCGGTACGGAACGCAGTGGGGATGCTTGTCGCTACTACTCTCATTTCTTAATGACCAGGGCCACGGTTACTCACTCATCCGCCTCGGGCGTGAGGAGTCCGGGCTGCGCTCTCCCTCGCGCCCCTGCGGCGCAGCCGGCTCCCGTGGCTAGGGTGGCGGTGCCCTCGGATGAGCGAACCTGCTGCTCTCCTTGCGTGCTCCTTTAATGCAGCCTGTCTCGTCTTTCTGCTGAGTCCTGTAAGGGGTGTGCTGCAGAGGTATCGGGGCGCCATTGAAAGAGACCCATTTCTCAAGCATAGTCACTCGTTCTGATGACCGTACTGAGTGTCCCCGTCGTGGTGCTGACGGGCCCGCGTGTCCGTGCTAGAGCTGTCGTGTGTGTTTGCAGGTATGTGCCCGAGTCTCTGGTGATGAGGGAGAGAGCCCAGGAGAGAACTCAGTAGGCAGAAGTGGAACTCTCAACTCGGAAAGTAAAGGATGCAGACTCCCCCGCCCCCATCCCATCCCACCCCACCCCGCCCCCGCCCCCGGTTTGTTTTTTGATGGTGAATTTTTGTTTTTGTTTTTGTTTTTTTAGTGTTAAGTGCGGGAACTTTAGTGACATATTGGAAAAGGAGAGACTTCCGTGCCAGTAGAACCTGGTTTAGGGGATCTTTCCAAGTCACTCCCTAAGTCTGCTTTTTTCTCCTTAGGAACAAGCCTGTATTTTAAAATAATCAATGAAAAAAAAAAAAGTAGAAAAGTAAAAAAGTGTATGCTGGAACTCTGTGAAATATGCAAATTGGATTCCCTTAGAATGTTAGCATGTGGTTTCTTCTCCATGTCAGACTACTGTGTCCCAATAGACTACAACCCCAGCTCATGAATTTATTCCAGTTTCCTGTGTCTACATCAGAGATTGATTAGCTTCTGGGAAAGGTAAGAAAGTTGATAGTAAAAGGCAGATCTGATGGCCGCGTTTGGCCTCAAGTAACATATGTTGTGCATATTCTGTGAATGTGAAAAAATGTTTATGTTTGGAAGCATAAGAAAGTGAGTGCCAGTTTGTAAACTGAGTGAGGTTTCTGTGTTCTTAAAAGCTGTTTGAACTATGACAGCTATAGAATTGTTTTTACTGGCTGATACTTGGCATTTTAAATTCGTGCTTGGTTTTGCCTAGTCGAAGTCAAGGCTAGGCATTGCTCAGTATTTGTTGTAAAATGCTTTGTCACATGGGCTCAGGTATCAGGCATCATTTCTTGCAGATTTGTTTAGCAAGTACCAGGCCACATCCTAGAGCTGTTTAATATGCAACCTCTGCAGAGTTAGCATTTTGGCTTCTACTGCTCACTGTTTCTAGCACAGAGGAGCAAATGTTTAGACAAATGAACTAGTTGTGAAAATTAAATCTGTGGCTTTATATGTTACGTATATATGTCAGTTATCATCTTTCATGCTTTATTTATGGAAATTATATACAAATGTAGGCTGGATTTAGAAAGCACAGAGCATGTTCAATCTGGATTATTGTACCAGTCTTTAGATTTATTTTTATCATTTTTTTGAAAATATTACCATCTCTGTTTTCTTGCTGTTTTTAAAAATTTTGTCTCTGGGAAATGCTGTAGTTTGCTCTTTGATTTTAAGGGTCTGCTGTATCTACTGGACATTATCTGTCCCATCAGCTTTGCAGTTTGGCAGAACCACATGAAGAAGCTTGTCAAACTGAACCACAGCACTTTCGCTCTGTTAGCAGATTTATTATGGTGGCCAGAGTAACTGGTGAGCACCAATGTGATAGACATCCTGCATTCTTTTCATGTCCCTCAAATGAGGTAAAAACACTGCACAAAAGCAACCCTAGGGCCTGCTAGGAATTCATAGTGAGTTCCCTGGTTGGTGGGGAATGCTTGGGGAACCTTAGATGTGCTGTTAGTGAGAGCACACAGCTCTGTTGGAATGACATAAAAGGTGTTTCTAGAAATTTTCAATATACTTCTCTCCTCTTACTTATTTACTTTTTAAACAAGAAATTTATCAAACAGTTGGGCCAGTGTAGATTTAATCTTACATTTTACCTCATGGAAATTATTGGGGTAATTTGTGTTTTTATGCTCATGTTAGTTTTCAAAAATTCTTTTAAAGAATGGATAGTTATATGGGGGCACTTACTTGTTCAGTTGTTGAGTCCCAGGGCACTAAAACACTTTTAAGAAAGAGCTATTTCCTTGTGGTTTGAATTCATCTTTTGTTGGCATTAACTATAAATACTAGGAAATGTCTTTATTCACCAGTCACCGCATCTTAACTGTGTATGAAGGTCCTTCAAGAAGTTCATGAAGGTGCATATTATAAAAACTATACATGACTTTAAAAATCTTTTTTCAACAAAGTAAACTTACCATTAGATTCCATTTTATGTGGATTTTTGAAGTACCCTTGTACACATAGTCTGTGTTTTTATGCTGTTCCCCAGAAAGCAGTTTTCTCAATTATTAACAAAAATATTTGGAATAAGCTACTTATCTTTTCACCGCTCATATCTCACTGCAGAGACAATACATCTTTTCTGTTCTTCATTGTTTTGACCAGTTATTTCTTTTTATTTTTTAGATGATAGTCATTTCCTTTTGTTTAAACTAGAAGTCCTGGGAGCCCTTAGGACACATACATGCACACATACACACATCAAAAAAGAAATGTCATGCAACTTGCATCAGGAAATTAAAAGAAAAAATTCCAAGCCTAATGAAAGGACAATGTCTATCTGTTTTTCAAAACCATATTCATGGATTCAGTCATTCATTCCAGAATGATTTATTGGTAACCATCTATGCATAAAGCACTTTGCTAAATGCTAACTTTAAATTTATAGTGATTAGTTTGAGGCTTTATAATTTTAAAGTTTGAAGTGAAATGTTAAGTCATTTTCAAAGGCTTTATTTATCTATAATTATAACTACTTGTTAGTTTTTTTTTTCAATTTTAACAATTTTTTTTAAAATGATGTTGCTTGGGTAGAATGGTGTTATTAATACTCCCTCACTCAAAGGCAATTTGTATTTTTTTTAGCCATAGGAGTCATTTTAGACTGGCTACAACCAGCTCATATTAGATATTTGTATATTATATGATTGTGTCCTTTACCTAAAAGAGTTAAACCATCTTAGTTCCCTTAATGTTAAGTTGACTAGACATGTTATCATCTAGTGCTGTGAGTTATGAAATGTTTCCCACTTAGGCATATAGCAATGTGGGTTACTCCCTCTCTATGTAGAGGACACTAAGTGTAGGTTTGGTTTTATTTTGCTCCACAATTATCACATGATTTGAGACTTCTAGTATCTGCATCAAATTTCAATCAAAGGCCGCATAGAGTAGCTCAGCTTCTTGGGTGTCAAGTCTTCCACCTGCCACTTATTAGCCCCATGCCATTGGACCAAACTTCTCAAAACCTCATGGTTTTTCCTCGCTTGCAGAACTGGGTGAAAATGGTGCCCATTCAGGGTCTTATGAGGAGTTACAAGAGGTAGTCTATGTCAAGGGCCTCGTTCGGTGCCGGCCACAGGGTGAGAGTGCTCAGTAGATATGAGTTGTTAGAAATTAAAATAGGCATGCAAATGGCTAAGGTTTCCTGTCTCGTGCTCCCTGGTTTATATGATGAGAGTTGATTTTCACCCAGAGGTTTGAAGGGCTTCAGGGTAAAACCTGGGAATGTACCTGCAAACTTCATACTTACTTTGTCGGTGTCTCCAAGTGTTGGAAAGTCTGGTTTACAGTTCTCAGACTGAGACACGAAGGCTGTATGTTGGGAGTTGTGTTGCATTCTGGCCCTGGTTCTTCTGCCCCAAGCCGTACGTGAACTGTGGGGCGGCTTGTGTCTGTAAGAGTCCAAGAACCGTGACCAATCTAAGGAGGCCTGGACTCCTCCCTCACGTGAGTGGAGCCTGCGAGCTGCTGTCAGCACTGACTGAGACAGGCTGAGTCCATGGCAAATTCCAGCCAGGACCCAACAAGGAAAGCCGCCTTGTTCTCAGCACTTGCCAGGTCAGTGGGTGAAAAGGCCCACAATATGAAGCTCCTTTGAATGGCTTCAAAAGGTGTTACCAAAAAAATTGTTCTTTTTTTTCATGTTTTGTCTTTTTTTTTTTTTTTCTGAGTATGCACACTAGACTTTAGGAGACAAGTCTATGGAATTCTTGGAGCAGCTGGGATTTAGTCCTGCAAGAAGCATTTATTATACCCAGCAGGTGTTTGATCTGTACACTCTCTGTTCAGCCCTCACATACTGGTGCCACTTAGAGATGCTTTGTGACAACATATTCTTATTTTTTTTAATTTTTATTTTATTTTATTTTTATTTTTTTATTTTTGACAGGCAGAGTGGACAGTGAGAGAGAGAGAGAGAGAAAGGTCTTCCTTTTACTGTTGGTTCACCCTCCAGTGGCCACTGTGGCCGGCGCACCGCGCTGATCCGAAGCCAGGAGCCAGGTGCTTCTGGTCTCCCATGCGGGTGCAGGGCCCAAGGACTTGGGCCATCCTCCGCTGTACTCCCAGGCCACAGCAGAGAGCTGGACTGGAAGAGGGGCAACCAGGACAGAATCCAGTGCCCTGAACAGGACTAGAACCCGGTGTGCCGGCGCCGCAAGGTGGAGGATTAGCCTACTGAGCCACAGCGCCGG